TATATCCTTTATGTTTAAATGGGGTGTGTAATACCATGTAGTATATAGTAGCTCTTGACCTTCTTCAGGTAAAAGATTGTACAACTGTGCGAGAGATTACAATAAGGATGAGTCATCTGATGGGACTAACCTTTGGAAAGTGACCTCATTGAATCTGAGCATTAACTAATCAATTTAAAAAAAAAAAAAATATTTTTGATGAAAAATATATTAATGAAATAACTGTTTATCTCAAGAGCTTGTGCTATGGAAAATGAAATTCTGGAGAGATGACTTAGTGGATCATTCTGTAACTTTTAATTTCATCTTACGTATAGATATTTTAAATAGAATGTAGACTAACAGTGACTGAATAGCTATCAGTACCTCCTGTCAAATGAATTGTGCAAGAATGAAGAGTACTGTGAAAATAGTGTTGTTCTTCTCCATCTTTTTCGGAGACAGAGGATTTGGTCCTTAAAATTGCTAATGTATCAGTTTTATAATGTCATTTTCATTGCTATTTCAAAGTATAATATGAAAATAGAGTTTTGTCTCTTCTGTCTTGCAGGCCGTTTATCAGATAATTAGATGACATTGTTCCTATAGCATGTACCAAATAATTTAGTAATAATATTAACTCATGCTTCCCACAGTGAACTATGCAGATGGTACATGCAGTCTCTTTATCAGTGTAAATTCTCAGAGTAAAAGCAGTGATAGCCAGGCATGCTGAGAAGAGAGATTGAAAGATACCATTTGTATTATTCTTCATATGAAATCAATCAAAACTAGTGGGGAAAAAAAAAAGGCAAAGACAACTTAGCGTCACTGTTGTGAACTGAGAAATGCTTACAAAGAGTGGCATTGAATATATTTATTTCCCTTAATACTCCAATCTAATCATGATGGTGAGCTCTGCACTTAGAAAAAAAGATACATTAAAAATGTCTTTTATCCTGGGGCTTTTCAAGATGGCATTTTTGGAACTTTATTAGCAAACAGGCAGCTCTTGAATTTCAGAGTGAGTCTGAGTTGCACAGCAGTCATCTTTTACTTCTGTTTCCCCAGAAGTTTTCTACTAAGTTATTAACGTGCAGGCACGTTTTGTTACCACGAAACTGCATGGATTTTCAGCTTGGAAGTAATGTATGATGTTTCTTAAGTTTACTGCTTTTTTTTAACAGTTTATCACTGTGATATGTCATGTTTCTAATGGAAACAGAAAACCTGTTATGTTCTAGCTAAACTGCTGGAGGCTAGCATACACAGCTTTGCAGTTCCAAGGTCATTTTGGGATTCATTCTATAGCTCTCCAGATACCCACCAGTTCCTAACAAGCAGTAGTGAACATATTAAAAATATAAGTTCAATTCAGGGAAAACAAAGCATTGGTAATTCCCTAGTTTCTGCAGAGGTGATTACTAGTCCTCTTTGTATTGTGTAAGAACAAAGGAAATTTTCATTCAAACAGAGCAGGAGGTTTACATTAGCTGTAAAAATAGATTAGTGATGTCATTTTCAGTAAATAGTAGGCCAGTAGGAAAATACCTTACACCATGGCTAACTAAGTTACTGTGGTAGCTGTCCTTTACACTACTGAAGTAGGCATGTGTCTACTTCACATGGACAAGAAAAATGTGGGCTTTTAGGGGTTTTACTGGTATGATATATTATTTAATACTTCAAATAATAAGAATTGATAGGTTTTGTCATGCTCTTCAGCATCTGATTTATGGAGACTACATGGCTCCATAAGAGAGCTTTAGCTTTATGTGAAACACAGGCTTCATGAAGGATGCTGTAATACACTTCTGTCATACCTGTGTCATATGATAAGTGCTAGCTCTGAATTTAATCCTTATGAGGAATATGGAGTCCATGAGCAGAGGACTACTGTTATTGCTAGAGTGAAAAGTAAGTAGAAAGTATGACAAAAAAAACTGGGAGTCCTTTTTACTGCTGCGTTAGTTGCACTAATGCTTGAATTTTATCTTTTCTGAGTAGTACAACTGTTGCCTTTAATGTATTTGTCTTTTGCAGTACTTTCCATTTCCTCACCCTTTGGGATAGCTGTAGAGTCCCCAGGACAGTACATTGTCTTCTGGCTAGATACAAAGCTGAGAGCAGAGGTCTGGGATTGGGAACACTTAATAGCAGGGGGGCATAACAGTGTTAGAGCTAACGACTGGATGGAAGAGGATCTTTATTTCCCACTGGCTAAAGCAGCCAGAACCTAGGGACATTGCTCTGTCGGTCTTACAGCTGTCCACACTGCTCCATCCTTGGAAGCTCCCCCCTCTTTCCTTTCTGGTATCTACCACCCAACACACCTCACCTATGCTAAACACCAGCCAACAGCCCTGGCACACAGGTTGCCTTGCTTTATTTACGCTGCACAGCTTCTCATTAAGGCTACATCTCCTTTCCTGTTTCCAATAATGAGGCGTGGCCCTTGATTCAGCTCTAATTTATGTATTTTACTTAGCACAGCTATGGTCAGAACAGCCAGTAGTAGTTTAGGAAGCTGCTTCAGCATTTGTTGCTGGAGTCTTCATCCTGCCTCCTGCTTCTCATACTTGCTTGTTGAGGGCAATCTCCCCCTCATGCTACTGTATATCTTCTTTCCCCTTTCCACTAAATATTTTTTCTGTTTTTTGCACCTACTCTTATCTTTCTGCTTTCAAAGGCTACTTTTCCCATGTTACTTGTTCACCCAGACAATTTCTTAGACTTCCCACGTAATTCTTAATAATTTTTACAAGTAAATGAATTTGTTTACTCCATATCAATTATGTATTAGCTGTCACCTAAATGCTCCTACCATCCTCAGATAACTCACTATTTCCTGCCTAGATGCAGAAGAAGCACCTCCTGCTCAGAACATTCTGCTGTCTGCACAGCAGCGCCTCAGGGATTCCTGCCCAAATGCTCCTGCTGTCCCTGCTGAGGGAAGTCAGGGCTCCCTGCCCAAACCTTCTTGCTCTCCCCTCTCCCTGCTGACGTACCTCAGGGCTTCACTTGAGTGCTTCTGCTGTTCCTGCTGAGGTAAACCAAGGCTTCCCAGCCAAGTCTTTCTCCTGTCCTATCTGAGTTACCTCACGGCTTCCGACTCAAAATCCTCAGGGCTGTTTGCTCAGGTACTTGCTGAGTCTGCCTGAGTCTATATGTTGCCCTCATACGTAGTACAAGAATCTTATGTAGGCTCCTTGTTTCTTGTAGCTTTCTACAGCTTTTTCAGCAAAATGAACATTATGCTTTTCCTTTGATTTTTCACTTGCAGATACAAAGGTATTCACTAGATTATTTAAATGTGAGAGGTTGTTTGTTTTTTTTTTCAGACACTATACTTGACACAGCTGCAATCATGATAATTTTGTCCTTGTTGTAACTTAAGTTAGGACTGCTGGGTTTCATTGAGCCAGCCGGGAGTTTGCAGTTAAATGTTTTTTCAACTTCCAGTACTCTGACCCTACTTTTCATAGAATCATAGAATTGTTTGAGCGGGAAGGGACCCTTAAAGGCCATCTACTCCAACTCACCTGCAACTCCATCAGCTGCTCAGAGCCCCATCCAGCCTGACCTTCAATGTCTCCAGGGATGGGGCATCCACCACCTCTCTGGGCGACTTGCTCCATGTTTATTTTGAAAAACTTTTGCCTTATATCCAGTCTAGATCTCTCTTTTTGTCTGAAACCATTTCCCCTTGCTCTATCACCACAGATAGTGATAAATTGTCTGTTCCCTACATGTATGATCTCCACTCACCTGCTTTCTGGCATATCCAGCCATCCTGAAGATATAAGCATTATGAAGAAGCACAGGATCACAGAATTGTAGAGAAAGAACTTCTGGGGATCATCCAGTCCAGCCCCTAAGAAAAACAGAAGCCTTTTAGCAGTACTAATAATTTTGAGAGCGAGTCTTAACTTTTCTGTTCAGTAAGGTGACCTTTGTAGTCCAGAAACGTTGCGTCAGTGGTTCCTGTGCAACTTGTGTTACATACATTAGATAACACCAACAAAGTTAATGATACATTCCACATTCATGTTCGTAATCTCTAATGCCTCACTGGATCCTACGAGTAATATAGAAGCTAGTTATGCTCACTTGTATGGTTTAAGTAAAATGAGAAGCTTGTGACACAAACTTAAACTATATGCAGTCCTGCTTAAGTGACATTATCCTGGACTTTAAGTTTTTAACAGAAACAATTATGATCTTAATTTTTTTTACACAGTGTTGAATACTGTGACTTTTCCAAGCATGCTTTGTGCTGGGAAGTTTGTGTATCTGAAAATATTAAGCAATTAAAACAAATTTAGGAAATGAACAGCTAGGATTATAGCTGGGTGAATGGACTGATAAGTGGATATGTCCGCACTGCATGACACAACCCAATGGTTTAGTCTTACTCCTGTTTTCCTTAATAAACTCTGTGCCTCCCATGGAATTAACTCTATCCTATTAGCAGTGATGTCAACTACTGCGGTGATGGCAGGTTGTAACATAACATGGTTCTGAGAGCACAGCTACCATGTTGGGAAGGATGCCTACTTCCCAGCCATGTGTGTGTCGCAATGATTCCTGCTTTCTAGCTGCTGAGGAGTTCAGCACCAACAGAGAGCTATTAAATAGGTTCACATGCTCACCTGAATCCTCCACATTTGGTTTGGACTTGATCACTTTTCTATTGTGAGAATAAATGTTCAGTTATTCGAAGTGGAAAATATTTTCACTTGCCACCATGGAACCTGAAACCCATCCATGTCATCTTGTTTGTAAATGGGACAAGGGGAAGGTATGTGGGGTGATAGGGTGACAGCGAGGAATGGACAACACACTTGTCTGCACTTTGTCATCTCAACGGGTTTGGAGCTCAGCCTGGGGGAGGAGCAGCCTTGTATCCGCACGCGCTTAGCTGCGCTGCCTGACTTTTACAAAGGAGGTAGAAAAATCAGTAGTATGGCTGCGTGCCTGAAGTTGTCTAAACATTTTTTTTTTTTTTTTTTCCTCTATAGGTCATCTCCACAGGAGCAGCCCTGCCCAGCGCTCAGCACGTGGTGGAGAAGCTCTGTTGTGATACAGGGAATGGAGCAGCTGGCGGGCAGAAGGAAGCTGAGGAAGAGCCTGTGCGTGGCCTTCAGGTGAGAAATGAGAGCTGTCTGAAATGCTGGGAATACTGGGGATAACCTAGAAGTGGTTACAGAAACGATTGTGTTGTGTCTCGTGCAAGTGACTCGAGTTCTTGGGTCTGAGGGAAGAGTGTGCAAATAGGAGCCCCAGCACCACAGAGCGCTGTTTGGATATCATACCTGGAAAATAAGTGCAGTGGGAGAGACAAAGGATGCTGAAGGTCACACAGCTCTGCTCTGAGGCTTTCTAGATGTCAGCCCAGCATGTTGTGAATAAACTACAGTGGCAGCAGCTGTTTGCCGTATATGTAAACTGTCAAATTCTCAAGGAATAAATGCCTTTACTTTCACTGGGTCTGCTTTGAACATGTAAACACCTTTTAGAATTTAATGAGTTAGGGGAAAAAAAAATAAAAACATCGACTAATTAAAATAAACAGGGTGAATATGGAAACAGTTTTAAATGTTCTGGAAAGAGTTCTTGTTGAATATAAATAAACTTTGTGTTGGTAAATGCAACGCTATAGCATTCTGACCTGGGTCTGGGCTAGTTGTAGGCGCAGAATGGATGAAACCTTTAAGTGTGTCCTTAGATGCCACTTAAAAAGCAATTTTATAAGGGAAGGTATTTCCTTATCTAGTTCTGAAAAAAAAAGAAAAAAATGTTAGCACTAAACTTGTTGAAGAAAACTGTGCATAGATATGGGTAAACGTTGTAATGGAGCAACAGCAGCAGGAGAGGACTTACTTAATTGCAAGACTGGTAGTGAAACCGTCCATTTTTGTTAAGTGTTACAAGGCTCAAGAGTCTGTTTTGTAGATACTGAGATAGGATAGAAGTCCTTTCTCTTCCAGACTAGCCTGTGAATGTCAGAGCTTTTAAACTTTGTCTTGTATTTTGTACTTACTTAGGGTGAAAAGGCAGACTGATGGAAACGCAGATACAAGGTTCTGCTAAATTATATGATGGAATTTGATAATGATATTTTACAGATTTTGCAGAATCGTAGAAAATCCTTAGAGTTTTAAGAGACCTCTGAAGGCTATCTAGTCCAACTACCCTGCAACAAGCAGGGGCACACCACAGCTGTATTTCCAGCAGATTCTTCTAGGCAGAGTTGTTAAAGTGCGAGCATTGCCTAGTGCTGTTACCTTTGTTTTTACCTGCCTCTCCAAGAAGAGAACAGCAGAAACAGTATACATATCTCTACTTTGAGTGCTTAAAAAAAAAAAAAAAACTTAAATAGTTAAATCATAAGAAGAAATCTGTATCAATTGCTTCTGATCATTCCTGGGTCTCTTTTGCCTGATCTTTTGCTTCTGTCACACTTGATGGAGTTTTCTTCAGCTGCAATGCTGAAGCTTTGCAACTTCAGGTATTGTGGCTTGTTTTTTTCTAAAACGGTTTATGAAGACACTCCTAACTTCAGTCTGAAAGTAGCATATTAGGTAGTGTAAACTCTTCCTACCTTGAAACTGCATGAATATATCCAGTGTTTGCATTTGGTAAAATAATTCTGTATTGAACAGTACCATTTTTGTTCTATAACCGGTTACTAGAATAGTTAAATTTATCAAAGAATTCATTTTCAAGTCCTGTGTTCTGAACACTAGACATGATTTTTCTTAAAGCTGCTTTGGTGTTCCCCAACCTAAGTGGTGAGCTTTCAATCCCAAAATCTTTGGCCTTTGTGTGTATCCCTTGATACATGGTGAATGGTAAGATAGACATGAGCCAGCAGTGTGCCCTCTCAGCCCAGAAAGCCAGCTATATTCTCAGCTGCATCAAATAAGCATGGCCAGCAAGTCAAGAAAAGTGATCCTGCCCCTCTACTCTATAATGATGAGACCTCATCTGGAGTACTGCATTTAGATGGTGGAGTTCTCAGTGCAGGAGAGACATAAGCCTGTTGGAGCATGTCCAGATGACTGCTACAGAGATGATCCAACTGATGGTACTCCTCTCCTATGAGGACAGGCTGAGAGAATTGGGACTGTTCAGCTTGGAGAAAAGAAGGCTGTGAGGAGACCTGGTAGAAGCCTTTCACTATCTAAAAGGGACAGACTCTTCAGCAGAGTCTGTGGTGATAGGACAAGGGGAAATGGTTTCAAACAAAGGAGGTGAGATTGAGCTTGGAAATAAGAAGTTTTTTATAGTAAGTGTAGTGAAGCAGTGGAAGAGGTTGCCCAGAGAGGTCCGGCTGTGTTCTTAGAGATACTCAAGGTAAGGCTGGATGGGTCTCTTTGCAACCTGATCTACCTGTAGATGTCCCTGTATGCTGTAGCAGAGTTGGTCTAGATAACGTTTGAAATTCCCTTCAAACTCAAATGATTCTATTGTTCTATGCCATTTATAACATCATAAGCTAATCTGAACTTTGTAAAAATGCTGTGTCATTATATGACCATACTTTGTTTATAAATATGCCGTGGTTCTGTCATGTTTTGAGTAATATTTGCCATTGTGTGATACCATTACTAGATCCAGCAGCTGATGACTATATATAGCGAATATTTAAATAGGGTATTGGAATAAGGCAGTGTGACTTATGAGTTGTACTACTGGTCGCTGGCACGTAGGACTTCCTCCTGATAGAGATAAGCAGAAGATAGATGAGACTTGAAGGGTATTTTCAAAAGAAGTAAGGTAGAAAAAAAACCACTGGCACAGTTACTGTGCTTGAGAGAAAAGGAGGGTAAGGACAACAATTACTGTACTTTCATCTCTATCTATGTGGTTTTAAATAGTTAGCATGAGTTATATATATATATATTTATATATATATATATATATATATAAAATATATTTCAGACCCCATTTCTATTGTTCTACAATATAGTAATTGTTTCACTCATTGCCCTTTTTCAACTGCTTTACGTAACACTGCCATCTAGGCCACCTGCTTTGACCTTCCATCTGTGCCCGAGTTTCTGCCAGGCTTACTACTGCTGATCTGCCACTTGTACTTCAAATTAAATAGACTGTGACAGGCCAAGCTGAAACATTTCCATGGCTTTTTTTTTTTTTTCCTCCACAGCAAAATAGGAATTGGGAGGACCCAGATATATATATTTTATTTCTGAACAACAATGAAAAATTCTTTATTAGCATGTATCTTAGGGCAAAAAACAAACAAATATGTATAGAGGAAAGTAATGGTTAAAAGAAATGGACTTGTATGATAAATAAGTTTTAAGAGAGATCTGTAGTCTAGAGGAGCAAAAATTAACAATGAATAGTCTTTGAATCCAATCATCTACCAAGGCATCGTATTTTAATATGATTAACATCACTGAATTCAGGACCTTCCAGATAGGCATCCCAGGTATTTTTGTTTCTAAAATTGTGTGTGTGGTTTGAGGCTATGTTTCCTTCACATTTTAAGCGAATCTGACTCGCTTTGTCCTGCGCTTCCTTTTGCTAAATGCTCCTGTGCTGTACGCATGTGTGGGGTGGCTGTCTATTTATCCCCACTGCTTTGTATTGTCTGAGGGAGCTGAAAAGGCAGTCAGTAAATTTACAAAGCACATCAGTTCTAATTCAAGATGAGGAATAAGAAAAACTCAGCTGGGGATTCAAGAAATGCAACAAGCAAATGCAACAGTGCGGTGTAGGGACCCTGTATGCACCCTGTATGGTTTTCTTCAGAGAAATTACAGATATATATGTGCTGTAGTTATACCTAATTGATTACATAAATATTTGTGTAAACATCTGGTAAGTTTCCCTAAGGTATAGTTCGAAAGCAGTCATTTGATGTGTTTCAGCTAGTAGTTCTATCAACAAATTATAGGCAGAGCTCAGTGGATCAGTTATTCATCATTGACAAGATTAGCAAACTAAAGGGTCAGTTAGGCATTTAATGTTTTCAGTTTTGGACTCCGTGAAGTGTTAACCTTGGCTTTTGCTCTGCTGTGGGAGGATGTTTCCACTTGTTTTAAACTGCAATTAGATGTAAAACAAGATTTTTTAATTTTTTTCGGTGCCTTTCAAAACTTCTTACAGTGGTTGCTGAGGATTTGCAAGGTTGGAAAGTGTATATTTAACTGAAGTTAAATGTAGAGCTAAGGTACACTGTGAAATAAGATAACTGAAGGAGAAGTTGCTCTTCTGTGTTGGAGCTGATGTAGCAGCTCATTCTCACTTAAATACGGAGAGTCCATTCTGTCCTTCTCCTTTCTTCCCTCATGCAGTCAGCTGGATAAGTGTTCACCTCCCTTTTCCTTGAACAAACTTGTGAATCCCTTTGCTGAGCATTGGAGTGTGAAGGCCAAAGAGGCAGCTGAGTTGATGCAAAAGAAAGGGTGTGATGGCTGGGAAGTGATGAAGTGATGAGGGGGGGAGGCAGGGAGAGAGCAGGTCCATCTTTTGGAAATAAAGTGGATGGTAAGATATATTTTAGCTGTAAATTGCAATATCCCCTGAAAAAAAAAAAAATGCGTGAAGGCATCAGAAAGATGAAAGGATAGATTGTTTTACAAAAGAAGATAAACCATGATCTAAGTGCAGTAACGAGGCAGGCGTTCAAGGGCAGTGCCTCGACCAAAAAGTGAACAGACATACAGTATGAGTGAGGCAAGCATGGCAGGTCTGGGGATGGCAACCACAGTCAGGTGAGAGTCCAGATCATTGCACACATCTGTGTAATGAGACAGGTCTGAGATGAGGCTGGGAAATCGAATGAGCTAGATAGGTTTGATTAGTTATAGAGGGGTAACCAGGGTTAGACACAGACACAGGGATCACTAGGCAAATTCCATAATGGTGTGGTGGAGTTTAGGTCAAGAAAAATCAGTGTATGGACCAGGGTCTGGAGCAGTGACTGGAAACAGGCGTAGTCACTACACTGCTGCAGTGTTGGTTTCCCAATAGTAGCATGTGATTGGGTCTGAGAAGTTTTGAAGCCCTGTGTCTACAGAACTGTGATCTTGACTTTGTTTTTAGATAATACAAAGTAGGCAGGACTTAAACTCTAGATTCTGACCAATACGTAGCATACAGTAGGAATGAT